CCGACTCTACAGCTGCTTGTATGGTGACAGGGGCGTGTATGGGGCGTGTCTGCTCCCGCTCAGATCTAGAGACCTCTCGGCCGGCCGTTTTTTTACAACGGCCGGCCCTGAGGTGGTTAAAATGACTGAGCCATACTTGCCAACATCTTTATTCCAGGGCACAGGGCACTCTCACCTACACCCATGGCCAACACATATCATGCCCTCCTTCCTGGCATTTCCACCCAGATCATGCCCAGTTCTGGGTGGTCCCATCCCTAACTATGCAGGAACACACAACTACAGTGCCTGCATATACCAAGGCTGGACAAATCCCAGGAGCCGGGTAGGTAATGCTCCTTAAAAATTACAGCGGGTGCCTAACTGTTGAGCTTTTCTTTAGTTGTTGACAATGGAGCTGGCTCCTAAAAAAAAAAAAAAAAACCTGCTGCCTTCTGCATTAGACAGACTGGCTCTGTATTCCATATTGTTTTTTTCCACCCCTGGTGTTTGCTCTGTAACTCTTAATAAGGGTGTGTGTGATATTAATGTATAGAGGGAATTTAATAGGAGTTGATATTCCAGCTTGGCTTCTCCATTTTTACATAAATGGCCTCTCTCACACCTCTTTTAAACCAGTCCTCCGCCCTGTCTAGGATGCGTACTTGACTGTCTTCAAAGGAGTGACCTTTTTCCTTTTTAGATGTAGGTACACTGCTGAATCCAGACACAGGGGGGGAGACATCTATTGTCTCCCGTATACAATGCTGTTTTTACACCTCTCTCTGGGCAGGTTAATAACACCTCCTAGACTCCAATTATGCAAATGTACCTGGTTAATCAACACCTGGTTATGACTAACAGCTTACATGGATTGGAGCAACATTCACCATATTTGGGGCCCCCTGTGCCCCGGGACCCATAGCGGCCACCTAGGTCGCTATGGCGATAGTTCCGCCACTGGATTAGACGGACCCTGCTCGTGAGAGTTTACAACCTACAAAGTTTTTTATATAAAGTGTATGCGAGGGCAGAAAAAAAAGCCAAAAAATCGACAATACATGCCCATTTCCTGATCTTTATTGCTTAGAAACCCTGCAAGTACAGACCTGCTGATCTGCCAGAAATGCACTCGGCTCCTAAGTCCTGTTGTAGGCTGACTACCCACCGTGGTGTCAGCCCTGCCCAGTTTTCTTTAAACTACTACATTAAACTACTTAAATCCTCACACTCTCCTTATCACCACAACAGAGACTGTAATCTTTCTGTAGTGCCATTAAAGGAACTGGGAGAGCAGGTTGGGATCCTTGATAAACACAGGAAGTGTGCACAAGGCAAAGGACAGCTGTGAATTTCTAAAATGATCAAATGGTATTATTTTTATTTATTGAGTTATTTAGCACTTATCGAACACGGCCAGTGGTATTTTTAGCAGACTAAATCAGGGGTCTCAAACCTCCGGCCCGCCAGCTGTGGTGGAACTACAAATCCCATGAGGCATTGCAAGATTCTCACAGACATGACTCCCGAAGAGAGATGCATCATGGGATTATTAGTTTCACCACAGCTGGAGGGTCGGAGGTTTGAGACACCTGGACTAAATGGTATAAAATTATAGAAGTTTATTCTACACTCTCAGAATTTTGGCCTACTCAGCAGGACTGAAATTCGAGCGGTTTGTGGTTCTGCCGGTGTTCTGTTGAGAACACCGACCCTGTTGAATTTGCCAACCTCAGCATCTGCACTTGTGCACAGATGGGATTAACGAGGAAACAGGCATTTATTGACAAAGTATTTAGTGTTAACCGTTAATTGTGGCCATTGATAATATGCCATCCGTGGCAATAAATGATGGATGGCATTTTATGCACATTCACAATTAACATCGTAAGCAATTACATAATTATGTAATTGCTTATGATATTAATTATGAATGTACATAAAATGCCATCTATCATTTACTGCTGTGGCTGGCATATTATCAACGGTCATAATTAATGATTACACATTAATACTTTCTAAATAAATCCCTGTTTCCTTGTTAATCCCATCTGTGCACAAGCTCAGATGCTGAGGTCGGCAAATTCGACTGGTCGGCATTCTCGAAAGAACACCATCACCACCCAGCTTGACAGAAGTTGAGCCCAAGCTCTGTGGCACATTGCTTTAGTTTTGTGGGTTTTTTTCTTTTATTTTCTTTTACTATTCTATATGGAACTTTAAGAAACAAAGAACCGCTTTTCACAACTATTTTGTTAATTATTTTATCTTGTTTTGTTTCTTGGAGCAATTTAAAGCCTATAATTCTCTCCATTTTTCAGTATTAATGATACAGAGGGACGGTGCAGAGTACATTACCTTGTTCTGTGTACAATGTAATAAGATCATTGTTCTAGAGTAGACATTAACTTAGTATTGTAACACTAGAGTATAATTGACAGGCCTTGTTAAGACATGAAGACTTAAGTAACATTGTAGCTTGCACAGCACACTTTGCTTTTACTCCTGGAGGCTAAACAGAGCAGCGGGGGAATAAAATCAAGGTGATTATATCATAATATTTTGATCTAGGGCAGGGGTGTCAAACTCAATTTCATCGGGGGCCACATCAGCATTTTGGTTGCCCTCAAAGGGCCAGTTGTAGCTGTAAGACTATATAAATGTTTCTACTCTCTATCATATTAAATAATTGCCTCTGCCTTTGATTATTACGGGTTTTAGTAATAACTTAATAACTAGCTCTGAAAGTAGAAGTCTAGGAAAAATAATAGCAATTCTTGGTTTTATGGGGGGCTGTGCCGACTCTCAGCTGGGCTGTGCGGGTTCTATGGTGGGCTGTGCCGACTCTCAGCTGGGCTGTGCGGGTTCTATGGTGGGCTGTGTGGGTTCTTTGGTGGGTTGTGCGTACTCTCAGGTGGGCTGTGCGGGTTCTATGGTGGGCTGTGGAGGTTCTAAGGTGGGCTGTTCAGACTCTGAGGTATCTGTGTGGACTCCCAGGGGGCTATACAGGGTCTATGGTGGGCTGTGTGGGCTCTCAGGTGGCTGTGCAGGTTCTATGGTGGGCTGTGCAGGATCTATGCTGGGTTGTGTGGACTCTCGGAGGGCTATGGTGGGTTGTGCAGTGTCTGAGGTGGGCTGTGTGGACTCTCAGGTTGCTGCGCAGGTTCTATGGTGGGCTGTGCAGACTCTCAAGCGGGGCCTATGCTGGGCTGTGTGGACACTCAGGTGACTGTGCAGGTTCTATGGTGGGCTGTGTGGACTTTCAGGTGGCTGTGCGGGGTCTATGCTGGGCTGTACATGGTCTTAGGAGGGCTGTGCGGTCTTACCAGGTGTCCCAGTCAGTCTTAGTGGGTGTGGGTTGTGTGGATCTACAGGAAGGAGGAGATTTGCTGCTGGCGCATAATTCACAGGAAGGCTACAGGGACTTTTCTTGGGACCTCAGCTGCCTTCATGTGAAGCCCGGAACCTGTTTACGGCGCCAATCTTGGTTTAAAAACTTAAAGCTGCAGGGGAGGCGTGACGACCACATGAAATGGCCTGGCGGACCAGATTCAGCCCGTGGGCCTTGTATTTTGACACATATGGTCTATGGGCTAAAAGAAAGAAAATTTACTCACCTGATCCTCGGTCCTGGTGGTGGAACGTCCGATAGCATCCTCGCATCTAACACCGCTGCATTAGACGTGATGACATCACAGGTCCTTAGACCACTGGAGCCTGGGAGAGAAGAGGCTGCGGGGTGACCGGTCTAGCAGCCAAGCAGGACCGATGATCAGGTGAGTATATTTTCTTTATTTTAGCCCCTAGAGCAAAATGAGCAGTTAACCCTTGCAGTGCCAGGATAGCCCCACTGCAAAGGGTTCATTTTTAGATTTCCTTGAATTCTTCTTTAAGGATAATTGGGTCTCCTTTTAATATACTATGCTTCCTTATATGGACGTGCAGCCTTCTCCCGGAGAAAGTTACAGAGGAATGGTAACACGGCCAAGATATAATCCTGTGACATCACCGCTGTTCTATTTCCAGCTCTCATCTGGGTTTCAGAATTTACATTATTCCCAAACACCACACTGTATATAAGAGGAGGATTAGATGGTGGTGTTGGGTAAAGGGTATATGGGGCCCCACACTGAATGTTGGGCTGTTTATTGGGCCTGTAACTGATTTATTGCCTTGATTTTTGGAAAGATCGGGGAAGGGTTAAACCTCTGTCAGGTGTTTTTTACTCTGTGTCGCCCTTTTACCTACACAAGGAATTGGCAAATTAAAGTGTAGTTGCAGTTCTTATTGCACTCAGTAGTTTGTTAAATTACATTTTACACGCTTGCACTTCCAAATTTGTGTTGTTGTATTAAATATCAAGATTTGTACATTAAACTTAAGGGAGCTTTCAGTGGCTCAGTGCAATTACTCTTTCTCTTAAGAGTAGATATTAGTCACATGCCCTCTATCGCTCTCCAATCAGCAAAACTTATTTTTCCCCACTGAGTACTTAGAAGGGGGCTTGCTGGACTTCTGCAGAGAGACCACTGCTTGCACAGCAGCATGCAACATGCTGGTAGGGCACACGCAATTCTACTTGTGCTGTGGCTTCCTTTTAAAGAAAAAAAAACCTGTAAGTCTTTGCACACCTTTTTTATTTTGATGCACCCAGAATGTATTAAGCTGATTTTAAACTGAAAGTTTAATTGAGCTTTGAGAGCTGGGTCGATGGGTTTTGTTCACTTCAAATAAGTTTTGCTTGAAGCAGATCGATTTGCAGGTTGGAAGAAGGTCCTTAAAGTTATCCTGGCACTTAAACCAAAAAAAAAGTTGAAAAGCAGAGGTGTCTACACATACCTGAGCAGCTCCTGGCACTTAAACCCCCCAAAAAAGTTGAAAAGCAGAGGTGTCTACACATACCTGAGCAGCTCCTGGCACTTAAACCCCCCAAAAAAGTTGACAAGCAGAGGTGTCTACATATACCTGAGCAGCTTTCTGTGTTCGCGATCTGTCCAAATGTAGAGCCTTTCTGATTGGGCAGAGCTCTGAAACCCCCTAAGGCAGTAGTTCTCAACCTGGGGGTCGGGACCCCTTCGGGGGTCGAATGACGATTTGCCAGGGGTCGCCTAGCGGCTTCCGGCCACCCAGGAGAGAAGCGCTTTCTCTGCTCTTTTTTTTTTTCAGTCAGAAAAGAAAAAAAACTCTCATCGAGCAGACTAAACTGTGTGCACAGTGAGAGGGGATAGCAGTCTTTTTTGTGTGTGTTTTAGCCAATTGGGGGTTTTTTATACTCGTATGTATTACAATTGATTCTTTTATATAATGTAATTACTGTATAATAAAATTTGGATATCATTTTTACACATGTATTGGTTTTATACCTCTCAGAAACCCCTATTTCTCTGGGTTTTTTTATAAAAAAAATTATTAAAGAAATTTAAAAAATTCAAAAGCGATTAAAAAGAAATAAGAAACAAATTATTAAAAAATAAACAATAATAAGGTGAGAGTCCTCCTCAGCCCTCTCCTAGCGCAGCAGTGTCAGTTCTCCCGCCAAGCCGCCAGATGTCGCAGCAGCAGCGTCATCCCTAAATGTTACCGTTGGGGTCACCACAACTTGGCAAATGTTACCAAGGGGTCCCGGCCCTAGAAAGGTTGAGAACCACTGCCCTAAGGGCTCATGCACATGGCTGAACAACCTTTCATTATTTATATGGATCTGAACACAGCAGTATTGTATGCTATGGGCCCATTCACACTGCCTGTTTGGTCCGTAGAGTTTAGCTGCGTAAACCAAAACTGGAAAACCTTGCATTCATGGTCCGATTTTGAGCGTATTTATAACCCTTACATGCATTCAGCGTAGTAGGACCATATGATGAGCCACTGCTGCTGCCTTGTGAATTCAGGACCGACATGTAAATCCAGCCTTCAGTCATTCAGAATAACTAAAGGCTGAGGTCATTCTGTGCCTGCACCACCGCCACATGAATGGCTAATTGGGTGGAGGTGTATGTAATGCAGTAAATGATTGGTAAGCCCAAATGGAAATGTTGTATTACATAAAATTCATTTATAATATTTAATTGTAGAAATGTAAAGCACCTAATCAAATATTGTGTGTGTGTGTGTGCGTGTGTGTCTTGGCGGCCATTTTAGACCCTGAAGTGGCATTTTCCATACAGTTCAGTCACGATTGTGATTTACGTCTGCCTGTTCCCTCAGGTGCACTATGAGGTGGAGGAAATCATCAGTAAGTTGGAGGAGAAAGGCCTCAGTCCAGGAAACTCAACAGAAGACTATTTGGCCTTCTTGTGGAATCTTTACCAAGTCGCGGAAAGAAATTTACTGGATGCAAATAACAGTTTGGAGGAGCTGAAACGGCAACAGGCCGAAGAAATGACAGAGGTGAGTGTACCGATAAAACCCTGGGCTTACGGCATGTGGAGGGATAAAGAAAGCCCCCCCACTTATTTATAATGTCCTAGGCTCGTTCACAGCAGGCTGCACGCTAAAATGCGCACATGCTGGTGTGCGTTGTGTAGGAGTGCTGCAATGCTCTGCCAGCTTCTTATTACGGGCTTTGCCCATGTTGCAGATATTACCTCACTTCCTGTCTGGTGATACCGTCGCCATTGTGACAGGAAGTGAGGTGAAATCTCCCTAATGCTGCCCTGAATAGCAGAATAAAAAACAGTGGTTCTAACGCTTCCCCACTATCCAAAGCTAAAAAAAAAAGTTTTGGGAGGACGTCAGTTTAATCAGGGTAAGTCTGGCTCCAGCCACATTTTATTTTTCTAGTTGTGCACAGAGCGGTAAAGGGATGGAACTTCTCTCAGGTTCTTGCTTGCAGTCTGTGCCACCCTCAGGGAGATTCTCCCTCACTTCAGGTATCAGGACAGGAAGTGATGGGAAATTTCTCCAATGGGGGCACAGACTGCAACACACCTGTGCCTTTTGCTTATGAGATGCACCGTTATTGAAGACTATTACACATGTCATAGAACAATAAGGAGATGGGTTATGGATCTCGTTTATTCTGTATAAGGTTGAGAGCTACGTGGCTCATATCCGGAGTCTCACCGAGGAGAGGGAGGCGCTTACCACAGACTTTGAAAAGGAAAATATACAGCTAAGGATTGAACTGGAGAAGATGCAGATCCAACAAGGTGAGCCCACTTTATGTGATGCTTGTATGTGTACCCATTGAAAGCTACAAATACTTAATAAGGGGTAAGTTATTCCAACCAATCAGATTTCATGTTTTCTCCTGGTGGGCTGAGTCACCTTTGTGTGTTCCAGCTCCTATTGTTAGATTCTCCCCGTAATACACTGCCTGGGCAGAAAGAAAAAAAGTCACTCTCTAATATTTCATTGGACAGCCTTTAGTTTTGCTTACGGCACGCATTCACCATGGCATCATTTAGCTTATGCAATGTCACAACATTGATTTCTCTCTCATTCTCCCTGAACCACTCTTTCACAATCTGAGCCCGATGAATCCTGGCATTGTCATCTTGGAATATGTCCAATGTGCCATCAGGGAAGAAAAAAATGAGTGATGGAAAAACCTGGTCATTCTACTATTTAAGTAGGCAGCTGACCTCATTTTTGGGAACATACTGTTGCTCAGGGAGACATTATTTTCACACACAGAGTCCAGACCCCATTGAGAATCTTTGGGATGTGCTGCAGAAGACCTTACACAGTGGTCCCGACTCTCCCATCATCACTACAAGATCTTGGTGAAAAATGAATCCAACTCTGGACAGAAATAAATGTTGGGATATTGCATAAACTTATCGAAACAATACCATGGTGAATGCGTTCTATATTCAAAGCTAAAGGAGGTCCAACAAAATATTGTAACTTTTTTTTTTTTTTTAGCCGGGCAATTTTTTTTTTTTGTTGTGTGTGTGTGTGTGTGTGTCTGTGTGTGTGTCTGTGTGTCTAATTAAAAAAAAGTGGGGAATGAACAAGGTCATGTGATTTCTCTGTTATTGAATAAACTGTTATTGAATAAAAAAAAAGTAACACTCCTCGAAATAAACTAAAATTGAGTTTTTAATTCTTTTTGAGCATCTTATCGTTCTGGTGTCATTTCAGAATTACAGTTGAAGGAAGTTGAAGAGATGCTGGATCAGGAAGGCTTGAGTGAGATCGCTCAAAGCAGCCCCAGTGAGCAAGTGGCTTATCTGCTGGTGGAAAGAGCCACACTTCTGGAGAAGCTGGAGGGCCTGGAACTAAAGCTGGACTCCCACTCGGAGAATCTGAGCAGTGAGAAGCAACAGGTAGAGCTGCTGGGAATTCTGGGGTGTCACTTGATTTTTGATCTGCTGGATTAGAGAGCTTAAAGTGACATTAAACCCTCAGAATTTTTTACATAAACCAATACTGTAATGTGCGCCTTACTGTAATCCATGGTTGTTTCCCTCTCTTTGCTGCTCTTCCTTTTAAATCTGTATCTCTTCTCATGCTGGGCAGAACTTCTGTTTTGCAGCAGACTGCCTTGTCTCTGGAATGAATACATGGTGTCTGTGTGCAGGTTCACAACCTGAGCCAGCACTACAGGAAGAGGCACTCAGCTGCAAAGGGAAGTTCTCCCCAAGCATGAGAAGAGATACAGATTTAAAAGGAAGAGCAGCAAAGAGAAGGGAAACTACCATGGATTACAGTAAGGCACACATTACAGTATTGTTTTATCTAAAAAAATCTGAGGGTTTAATGTCACTTTAAGCATGACCACCATCAGCCATAAGCTACTCAGGCTATTAGTAGCCTACATGCCCCCAGCATGTCTTGCCATTTTTGGCTTTTGTTGTTCCTAAATAGCTGATGTGCTATAGATGAGGTTCAAAAGTTTGTGTCTGGTGTACACTATATATTCCATAGTAACAAGTAAGACTTTTTAAGTTTGTTTTGTCTAAACCAACAGTCTGTATAGAACAGGGACAGTGAGGGAGCCAAAGTCTCCTAGTTTGAGACAAGTGATGAACATCAAAGGAATCAATATTCAAGCCATGGCAGGATGGGGTTAAGGCCAAAAACCAGTTGGACTTGGGGTTGTAGAGCATGCAGTAGAGACCAAGAGCAGTGGAATGCGAGTCCACATAGAGAACAAGGTTCTGACTCTTGTAGTTTCCAAATAGCTGATTGGCTATAGATGACCATGAGACGCTCAAAAGTCTGTGTCATAAATTTTGTGCACGCTATGTATTCCATAGTAGCGGTAAAGTTTTTGTTTTGTTTTTTTACTTAAATTTGTCTAAAGCAACAGTTTATATAGAATAGGGATAATGAGGAGGCCAAAGTCTACTAGTCTAAGACAAATGGTGGACAACAAAGTGGTCAATATCCAAGTCAAGGTCAAAGTGGGTTTAGGCCAAAAGCTATAGAGGCTTAGGGTTGCCGAGCATGGGGTAGAGGCCAAGAACAGTGAGATGCAAGTCCACTTGGAGATCAAGGCAGGCGTAGTTTTCCACAATAGTACGATCTCTTGATTAATCAAAGTGTATAAATATTGTTTTCTTTTTTTTAAATATATGAAAATGTATCTAATTATATAGCGCATGGGTTGTGTAGAATTAACTTGCCCATTTGCCTTTATGTGTGTGTTTCTGATTTGTTTTTAACTTGTTCGAGAACTCCAATTAAATCCTCCATGCTGAGGAGTTCCCAGCTCCACCCTCATGTAGCCGCCTTTTAAAGGAGACGTGCTATAAGAACAGGGGCTTATTGCTGAACTCCTTTTGAAAATGCTACTGCTATTGCTGTCTCTGTTAAAACCTTCCAGAGTTGGTGAACTTAAAATGACCTGATCCTTTAATACCATTTACTTAGGATGTAACAAAGGTCACAGCTACCCATTGTTGCATCACTAAGGTGTCTCTGGAATGTGGTTTCTGCCTTCATTTATGGGAGTTCCAACACTGAGGTCTCCAGTAGACATTAGAAAATTGATAGTTATGACCTCTGTTTTTATCATACTAATGGAAGCACGTTCAATAAAGTCCCTTTGGCTGGTCAGAATGGCTGAATATTGGGGAAAAATGCTTGGGAAGGATTTCAGTACAAGGCACCCTGATGGGGGATAGTTCACCACTCGTCTGAGAAATAATTCAACCTGCCAGAAAGTAACTGTAAATAAAATCTTGATTTTATGTGGACTTAATCCTGTAATTATCTTATAAAAGTGCATTGCCAGTAACAGTATAAGACGGGCATTAATTGTGTTTAACATGTCTTCAGTGAAAGGCGTTAGGTTACAGCTAATGGTTGTGTTTTGCAGGATGAATTGGAACAAATTCATCGGACTTTAGAGGAGGAACTCTATCAGCAACGCGAATCCATGAGACGCACCAAGGAAACCCTGTACAAGGTATATTCTATTCCATTAAACAATGCAGACTATCCAGTTTCTGTGCAAGCAGGAGAGGGCTCAGCCACCCTTCAAAGTAAACTTGTCATTAGTATAAGCTTTGTAAACTAAGGGAAGCAATACACAAAACAATAACAGCAGAAAATTCTCACAGACTGAACCATGTCTGACCTCCCAGACAATGAGCAACTTTGGGGGGTCAAATGACCTCCATATTGCACAGGATGATGACTACACTCGATCTTTGGCCATGAAATGTGCACATAGTGATGTCTAAATACACGGGAGCAGGGAAGAGTGGCAGGTCAGTACTGTCTCTAACTACAGGCCAACTCTTCCTGTTTGAAAAAGTGGTTATCTTCCAAAGTCTTCTCTTGGGACAGCCGGTGGAAAGGCCGTACATCTAACTAGAAGAACATCCTCCAGTGATATGTATATGTATGTATATATGTGTATATATATATATATATATACTGAGGTGAATTTATCAAAACTGAAACAGACAAAATCTGGAGCAGCAGTGCATAGCAACCAATCAGCTTCTCTCTTTCATTTTCAAATCTCAACTGAACAGAGAAGCTGATTGGTTGCCATTGGCAACTTCTCCAGATTTTGTGCGCTCCAGTTTTGATAAATTCCCCTCACTGTATATTATATTCCAGGTGCATTAAACAAAAATCTGTGCAAAGTCTTACAGTTGGTTTCCTTTAGAAAGCATCCATAGCCTGAGTAGAAAAGCCTGACCCCTGCCAGCATGCTGTGGAGAAGGACCCTTGCCCTCTGCATGGAAGCAGTGGTTTCTCTGCAGAGGTCTGGTGTGCCCCCTTCTGAGTCGGAGCTCTCCAATTTAGTAAATCCCATGCCCCTGCTGACTGGGGAGCCCTAGTTCTGTGTGGGACAACTGCAGAAAGACTAATGCTTCCAAACAGAGAACAAGACTCCCACTTTGCAGCATGCTGGCAGGGAACAGGCCTTTCTACTCAGACTGTGGCTTCTTTCTAAAGAAACTTAACTGTAAAACTGGCCATACACCTATAGATTATCTGCAGATTTTCTATGGTCAGATGGAAAAATTACAACTGATTCCTCCATCTACGCTAAACTGTGTGGACGGAGGAATCTCCCACTGGGCCAAACTTCAGTATCTTACTAGTCGGCCCCGCTGGCTGTTGAAATACCTGAACATTCTAATTGGATGCAGGCATTGTTCAGGTGTTTTGAGAGCCAGCTGGGCCGACTAGCAAGATACTGAAGCTTGGCCCAGTGGGAGATTCCTCCATCCACACAGTTCAGCGTAGATGGAGGAATCTGTTGCACTTTTTCCATCTGATAATAGAAAATCTGCAGATGTACGGCCAGCTTTAGGCTTTGCACAGCTTTTGTTTTTTTAATGGACTTGAAATGTAAGTTGCTGAAGATGAGTAACTGAAGGTTCATTGGGCCTTAATGTCTGCAGGTGCAACCAACTTTTATGGAACATTATTTACCTACAAAACAGTGCTTCCAAAACAGAGTATTTTTTAATTGCTTAATTTTGTATCTTGCTTTTGGTTTCCCTTTAACAATGCAGGATTCCTAAATAATTATTTGCTAAATAAAATGTCCTTTTTTTTTTTTAAATCATTCTAAATAATCACATAAAATGTTTTTTTCTAAAGGAAACCCTATCCCCAGTTCAGAAACCCTGGAAGAAGTTGTTTGGAACACGTAAAAATGCCTGTTCAGTATGTTAAAGTTACTTCATGATAGATCTAACTATACAACTAACACTCACAGTTGCTGTCTAACCTGCTAACAATACGAAGCACTAACCATATAACAATCCACCTTTAAATATGTTTTTTCATGCTTGGTGATCGGGGTCACTGGAGAATTCTTGGGTGCCTTTCTCCAGCTATTTTTCTGTTTCTGCTCTACATGTTCAATTTATAGGCCACTTTTCAGACCCCATAATATACCTCCATCTGACAGCAATTGACCAGGTTGGAAAATGTCAGCCTATATTTTTTAGGAAAAGGAATCACCAGCACTCAGTAGAATAATCCAACATGTCCATTTATTGGACATAGACGTCACACAATCACAAGAGCCAACGTTTTGAGACCACGCAGGGTCTCTTCATCAGGGCATAAAGAGTGGACATGTTGGATTATTCTACTGAGTGCTGGTGATTCCTTTTCCTATATTGTGTCTGCACGGTGCCATCCGTGTTCATCACTACAAGCACCATTGTCTTCATAGGCCTTGATTGCTGCAAGGTGTGCGGAGGATTTCCCCTTCTATCCAATCAGCCTATATTGTTTTCACCTGAGATAAACTGGCCCTGAAACTGTCTGTGATTTTTCCATCTCTATAAACTTGCATACACAGGTAATCCTGGCATGAATCTTTGAAAACTAAAAGTCTTCAAGTAGACAGGCTATGTCTCAGTCTGTGCTCTGTAGTCTATGGCGAGCTGTAGGATGTAAAGTTAGCCATTGGCTTATGAAGATGGCCAGACATAGAACCATGATCCATGTGTCAGAAGATGTCTTTTAGGCCATCTAACGGCATAAACAAAAACTCTTGGGTTAACGAAGTGTTCCTGCCTATGCCTATAGTCAGAAAATTGTGGAGGCACTCACATTAACCTCTAGTGGTGGACAACCTGTCTGACTGCCAAATTTCCATAGTCCTCATTGCCAGTGGTGTTTCAGGTGCTCACAGATGCCAATATGACATTTTGGCAAATTCCGCCACAATGAACTTGTCATCAGAGTATAGAAATGTTCCAATGACTACAAGCAGTTGTTAAAATGAAGAGCGCCACTTTTAATGATTGAGACCTCTATGACCACCTTGGCTTGAGCTGCCTATATGCTTGGAATTGAATGTTCCATCACTCTATCAAGTTGTCATCATTTGTCCAACTGCAAGGAGATAGGATAGAAATTTCCCAATGAACCTGGTAGAAAAATCTAGTCCCTTTCAAATACATTGCCATCGTTTTTTATTTTATCTTTTATTAAACTGTGTTAAAGATTTCAGTCTATTGCCCAATTTTGACTTTACAATCAACCGCTTTTTGGTGGTTGATTGAATTTTTGGGATCACTTAGTTTCTGGTGATTACTTGAGATCGTGTTTGATTCTCCGTGGATGGACAGTGGTTGAATTTGACTGTAAATTGCCATGTGCATTGCCAGCTGTAGAGTCACAAGAGCTCTTCAGAACAATAACAAAGGCCGGTTTTCACTGTGGAAGATGAAAGGCCATCAACCGTGCTCAATATTTTTTAACATTCTTTCCTAATTTTTTTTCCACAAAACATTTTATTCACTGCAGGATTCAGACTGAACTGGATTAAATACACTAAACAGGGACGAGATCTCTGATGAATGAAACCATCGTGTTAACCATTCAGCTTTACGTGTAGAGCGGGTATTTACACACAAGTCACCTTTTGTTTAATTGATTAAAAGGTGTGAAGGGTGCATTCATGCAAAAGGAAATCTGTCATCTGATGATGGCATCTTTGCATGTACAGACCTCATTCACAAAGGACAATGTGGTAGTCTGCACCTTGTACACTGAGGATGAATGTCTTCATCCTGGAAACTGCTGATTTAATAATGAGCTGTAACAGGCAGATGTATCTGGCTATTGTGCCTTATGAGATCAGGTAGCCGATATAAAGGCGGGCAAATGTATACTAGGTTTATAGTGTTTCATACACGGGCTGAGATATCTGAACTGGCCTTTCGTTGCTTAGACGTAGTCCGGATCCTCAGTTACTAAGCATACAGCCAGGCTATTGTCCAGCCAATACTGGATATTACATATTTGGTGCACCATTGACCCTTGCTTTCTTGGCTGGTAGACACGCTGCAGTTTAGCCAGCATTTAGAAAATATATTTACTCATTTTGATATCCCTGCTGATTTGACTGTCAATTGCCATGTGTATGACCAGCTTTAAAGGCACAAAAGATCAGTACAACATTCTTTCCTAATTTTTTTTACCAACCAATCCCTGCAGATTGGTTGTCAAGCAGAATACAGAGTCCTTGCATTAGCCCGTTACTGAGCGGATCAGCAACTGTCTTATCAGTGTAGGGTAACTGCCTGGCAAATGAAAACCAGCTTTCACAGCTCTACTTGGTAAGGGGTGTATCCATGTGTTTATGGAGCCCCATAGCAAACACATTTAGAGCCTATCTGATCTCAACAGCAATCCCTTTATTGATGGAGAGTACCATTTGCTTTCATAGTTTCATATTTTAAAGGGCCAGGTTTTCAGTGCTATCTGGGGTTCCATTTGATAGACTTATCCTCAATTCCTGTCCTGATGGCCAACATTTTTACCAGACAAGTGGGGGAAAATCTGCAATAGGGACACGGGGAGAAATAAAAATTTGGCTTGGGTTCTAGCTTTTCCATACACATCACTGGCATCTTAACTGGGTTTATGGAATCACATGTTCCTGTGCAGATTTGTAGGATAGCTTCATTCTATCTGGGCATGGTTTCCAGAAAGTTACATTCAGAACAGTAAGACATCCAGGAAACCTCCCAAACAATCAGACATCATTTATAATAATATAATTTCTCTTGTTCTATAGTCATTTGATGAGGAGCTTGAAAAAGAAAGAAAAATGAGGGAGTGTGTGGAAAGAGATCTGAACGAAGCCGCCCAGAGGCTGAAAATGGCCCACGATGAGATCCGCAAGCTTACTGATGATTTGCTGATCAAGAAAAAGGAAATTAACGAGCTTGGTAATTTTAGGATTATTGTAGTCTGTTGTTCATTTCATAGTTTTTATTTACTTTTGCAGGCTATTAGGCCTATTTGCTAGGACATTAATGTGAACATAAAGAACAAAGCCAACCAAAACTTATATATCAGTCTTTTGCGACCACTGATATGTTAAATCGGCCATCTGTTTTTTGTATATCTCCTTGACTGTGGTCTCCACTGTGACCATTATCAAACCATACAGGAAGATTTAATTACTTCTCATTCTCCATAATATAAATAAAGACCCATGCCTTCAACATGAGGATGGTGCTGGAAACTTGCCACCATGTACCCATGGGTCATACACTTACTTCAGAGTTGGCTGTACGCAATTGCTCTGGATTGGCTTCCTGCAAGAGACCATGGAGAACCATGTCTGCTCAATGTATGTCAACATAGTGATTGCAATCTCCATTTGTGGTGCATGTGGCAGGGTGACAACTCAGAAGACTACTTAGTTGGCACCCCATAACAGGAAGTGTGTTAACAATGACCTTTTAATGAAAGCTGTAGATTTAAAAACATGTTAACGCTTATATGAGACTTTGGTGGTTTGGGTTTAGATTTACTTTTAAAGTGGAAGTCAAAGCATCAAAATACAGTCAAAGTCTTGTAGAGAAACTCCCAAACATGCATTAAAAACCTTCACTTATATAAAAATTGTGAATGTATGTATGAAGACATCTTCTAAAATCGGCTCACATGATCTGGTTGTCCTGGTTCTTATTTCTTGATTTTATTTCAGCCCTATTTTACATGACATGACCTTCTCCTCCTAATTCATTGCAGAGCATATTATGGAGAAGAAGAAGCAGGAGGCGAATGAACTTCAACAGCAGCTTAAAGATCTGAAAGAGAATGGTAAGTTGTTATTCCCCCCCTCCCCCCACCAAATACATACCTTTTTTTTGTATAATATTTCTTTATTGTTTCTACATATAATAATATAAACATATAAACATGTACACATCCTGTTAAGAGACTCTCCCAGGGAGAAATCCAATCAAAAACAGAAGAGAAAGATAATTATAACTGCTTCCTAAAACAGACCCCCCTAGGGGTCTCAACTAAAAAAAGAAAGCAAGGAAAATTACAACCCAAAATCCCTCCCATTCCTAAAACACCCACAAAAAAATACATACACTTTTTTTTTTTTAAACATAAACTGTATATGGTAATACAATAAAAGAATAAAGAAGTGGTACCTCAAAGGTGGCAAAATCATGTAAATGCAATTGATATTTGAATGTAGTGCAATTTAAGCGCATGTGTTTTGAATACAAAAGGCTGCGTTTGACCTGCTTTGCCTGCAGTGCAAATGCAATATCAATAGGGTATGCTGTGTTCAGAAAAACACAATGCAAAGCAGATCAAGCGCAGGTAAACTAATTCCTAATAGGAAAATGTAAAAGAAGCAAAAAATGTGTCGTGTGTAAAGGAATCAGTTTTGAAACTGTACAATGTTATTAACCATCTGAATTAAATGTATATATCGCATGATCTCTATGTATGCAGATTCTGCTGATTTGCAAAAAGCCAAAGAACATAACCTTCGATTAGATAAGGAGATTCTCGCCTTACGCCAACGAGTCCGAACACTGGATTCTGAAAGGAAGAAGCACGTGGAACAGGTAGGGAGTTGGGATGCTGAGATGTAAGCACACGATGGCGGTACTTAAAGTGACACTAAACTCAGGAGTAAAACCTTAAAAATGTGTCCCTGTGTGTGTGTTGTAAAGTAGTCACCGCTCCAAGCTCCCTCCTGTGATGGACTATGGTCTCAATACAAACCCGTAAACTAAACATGAGATTGTAGTCCATCACAGGAGTGAGCTTGGAGCGGTGACTACTTTACAACACACACAGGGACCATGGGGAACAAAAGTAGCCACCGTCCAGAAAGAAGGACAGTGGCAGCACCAATTCAGAGATGATTTGAGGATCTACAGCCGAGTGATACACAAATAAGGTACAATATTGTTAATAGTTAAAGCACTTGAATGCATTTTTAAGATTTAACTCCTGAGTCTAGTGTCACTTTAAAGGGCCTTATGGACTTTTCTGTCTCAACAGCAGTTGGCAGTGATAGAGGCTTAAGCACAGTTAACGGCTAGTAACAATATGAGACCGACTGACCTGAAAGAGAACTAGTCACTGTTACGCCTATTCTAGAGTCTAAATATTTAGCATTACAGAGGAAATATGAGCAAAATAAATAATGATATATATATAATGCTGTCTGTCATTAGCAATAACACAGCAGTTTTTGTTTTTCTGAGTGTGCTATTGAACAATGTTTTCACACACAACACCCAAGATTCTCAGATTGCATTACAATGATTGAGGTCCTAGAAATTTAGGACAATGGACATTTTATTATTGATTGGGTTGAATTATAATTTTGCATGTGAAATTAACTTTCTCTATAACTGATCATTTTTTTGTGTGATTACAGAGTGAAAAGAGCGACAGTGACTCTACGTCTACCCGCATGAGCCTGCAGGACAGTGAAGAACTTCATAAAAAGTAATTTTGTTGACTTTGTGTGAGCAGATCTTTGCATATTTTCCCTCAAACTCCTGAGGGAGATATCCAGAGATCTCCCATCCCAGCCTCTGAGTGAGATATCCAGAGATCTCCCGCACCAGTCCCCCTGAGGGAGATATCCAGAGATCTCCCGCACCAGTCCCCCTGAGGGAGATATCCAGAGATCTCCCGCACCAGTCCCCCCTGAGGGACATATCCAGAGATCTCCCACAACCAGTCCCTGAGGGACATATCCAGAGATCTCCCCAGGGTCAGCATTGCCAAAACTATTTTTTTAATTTTTTTTTTATTTTGCCTTGACATACATTTTAATGAAGATTTCTCCTAAATTCCCGTCATCTCTCCTTGACAGAAAGTGAGGAGTTATCTCCTACAGGAGCACAGACAGCCGTAAAAGAACCTGGCAGGGCTTCTAACACCCTCCCCACCCTATCCAGCACCAAAAAAGTGTTTTGGTTAGCGTTTCACTTTGAATGCATCAATTTATTATAACCTGGTGACAAGCACTTATCACACCAGGCAATGCCTATGAAGCTGTCTTTGAACTGTTCTTCTTTTACAGCTTATCTGCTTGAATATTTGTAATTTTTTTTTTATAGATGTCGACTTGAGGTTGAAGAAAAGGAATATCTAAATAAACAGCTCCTCCACAAACTAAAGAAGCTGCAGGCAGAGTTAGACGATATAGTGGAGCGCAATGAGGAGCTGGAGTCCATTCTGGGAGAGTCCCAGAATCGAACCAAAGAACAAGTGGATTACTTGGAATCAGAAATAGCCGGGCTCCAGAGAACTGTACGTAATGTCTTGGATGCTGTGTCCTACTGATGATATCAAGTAGGGATGCAACGATACCAATACTAGTATCCGTATCAGTGCCAATACCGAGTATTTTGGCAAGAACTCGTACTAGCCCAAATGCTCCGATACTTACCTCCGATACCAGAACTTCCAGCCAGCGGGAGATCTCACCCTGACTGCAAGTGCCAAGGGAGCATAGAGTCAGCTTCCTTTCCAATCAGGAAGCCGTGCCGCACGTAATGACCTGTCTTCCTGATTGGTCAGGAAGCCACGCTACCTAGCAACAAGTGACACCGGCTTCCCAGCCAATCAGGAGCCTGGGAGGCGGGTCATGACGTGCCACTTGTTGCTAGGCTTCACTTGTTGCTAGGCAGCCTGGCTTCCTGACCAATGAGGAAGCCGGACGGCACCTCATGACTCCCCCCCCCCCCCGCGCGTGCGCCAAGAAGAGCTGGTGTTTTTTCGCTAGAACATCAGCTTCACCAGCAATCAGCCCGACTGCCTGATAATCTTGGCACAAGGCACCAATACTCTGTATCGGCGAGTAACAAAAAAAGGTACTCGAAAAAACCTTATCGATGCATCCCTAATATCAAGGTTGTTTGTTGGGTTCACACTGTCTGATCTTCCTAGGGCCACATACACATGAAGTCTAAGTTCATATTACAGAATTACAGAAAGATGTTGTCAGCTTTTTCCCCACTTCACATTCCTCAATACAAATGGAAGCAGCAGTGAACACTAAGCTTTTATAACCTACACTCTGTTACTCTAGTAATGGGAAGTACAGTGGCTAAGGCTGGTTACACATGGCTCATTTTTGAAAACCACTCAGTTGCTCCATCCGTGCTAAACAAACATAGATGGAGGAATCTCTCCTGCCTGCTATTATATTCGAGCCACTCTGGCACCCTCGGCTGCTTGAATATAGGAACGGAGACTGCGTCTGATGTGGAATTTTCTACCCTACTCAGCTTTTAATTTAAGTTGACTTTAGTCAAACTGGGCGGTGCTGAGAGGGCCACCCAAGTCTTTCAAATTTGTGTCTCATTTAGCCGTAAGGCGTGGACATGGGCCAACTACATCTGATGTTTTTGGAAACAATTGACATGCATGCCAGTGCCTGCTAAGCACACTTCTAAGTTTGAATTGCAATTCCTTAGCAGTTAGAACTGCGGTGTATGTGTGTGCCTTGTATGTGTGGTTGTCTGAGGGCAGAATTTTTCAATTCAGTTTTGTAGGGTTCATTTGTTCTATAATATATTGGGCTTTGGGGGTTAACAAAGACTGTCGCATGTCAAACATGCACTTGTTTCTAATTGTCTGCTGGATTAGTGCTTCCTGCAACAATTCATTTGTTGCAAGGTGTTGGTGCGCCAGATCTGGGTGCGCTTACACTGGCGTGTCCTGAATTTATTGGACAAATCGAAGGTAATCTTTCACCGGAATCTTCCTAAATGCTCTACTCCCTCTCTCCTTGCATTGCTGCTCCTTTCTGGCCCTCCAAACACATCCCCCTCTCCTCTCCTTGCTGCAGTGCTGTTCATCGCCCCTACATTATTTACACTGCTCTGGTCATATTGGTCTAGTTGTGTATATTTTACAATGGTTTCCAAATTAGATGACCAGTGCTTCGTTATTTCGGTGAATGTGATCATACGTGTATTGAAACTGTCGCAAAGCACTTTTAGCCCTCAGTCACACTTTCAATGTAGGTTGCGTTTAGGGATCCCTCCATCAGGAACTTTCAATTTCCTGCAGCAGGAATCCCAAATCTGCCATATAAAAGCGGCAGCTGTCACCCATTCAAGTTATGGATCGTGTGCCCTCTCTGTGTTATTTTTGCCCCCGTCTCCAATATACACTCTCACCGATACTATTTTAGGTCTGGTACTCCTCATTCATCCCGTATGTGATGTTTATTGGTTAATCTGTACTGTACATTGTAGGTTTGTTATTTTACCTGCTGTACAATTCATCTGAATACCGTATGACGTGTTTTGTACTCAATACTTTTCAATAAAAATGATATGCAAAAAAACCAAAAACAAATCGGGTGACAGCGGCCACATTTGAGAAGTGGTAGAAGGCAGACACAATGCATGTAATCGTATGTGATACAATTCAATCAATATCCATTCAATCAATATCCAATCACTATATCAATCAGTTTAGTGATTGATTCCTAATCGCATGTAATCGTATCACATGAAAGTAAATGCAGTGTGCCAGCGTTGTGCTGCTTTCAAATGCAGCCGCTGTCACCCGATCATTACCTTGAACGCGTGACAGCGGGTGCTTGTAAACGGCAGATTTGTAATTCCTGCTGCACAGAATCGCAAGTTCCTGACACAGGAATTCCTAGACGCACCTACATTGTAAATGAGGGCTTAATGTGGTTTGGCGTGGCTGGTGCAACAATGCAAAGAACTTATGTAATTGTTTTGGTTGTTTGGCGTAGAAAATGCATTGATATTTACACACAAAAAAACAATAAATATATCTAATTATTTTTTAAACTGTAGAAATTTTCAGATTCTCTCTGAGTATATGCAACCCTAAATCCCATGCAGTACATGTATTCATCCACAAGATGGCGCAGTGTGTTGCCATAGATTCAGAGGCAGTCAGCTGATAGAAAATAGCCTTGTTCTCTGTGCTGGGGGGGGACCTGTGAATGGAATGTGGTTTCCTAGCAAACACAAACACTATAGTGCGGCCTTTGTCAGATTGTTGTGTTTACAGCTGCAGCAGGGAGCCGGGCAGTGGGAGACTTTGACGTGCAGCTTGTGTCCCCTGTCCCCAGTCTCTCCTATCACCTTTGTTCAGGTTTTGTGGATGAACTGTCACCAGTAAATATATATCTTTAAAATGTGGCATTGTCAAGTTGTTAGCGGTAAGTCCTTCCTTTTTAAAAAAAATATATTTATTTACACTTCCCCCATTTAATTATATTGCATGCTTTTTATTGCCACCCACCAGATTATAAATTTGGAGTCCGAGCTCACGGAACTTGCGGAGCAGTGTGAAGCCAAAGATGAGGCCTGCCGTTCGGACGGACCGAGCACAGATTTAAAAAAGAAGTCCAAAATGGAGCAGGTGAGATTTTTATATGGAGCTGCCTGTGAATGAGATGACATTTTGCTTATCCCTTATGAATGATGCACGATAGCTGGGAGGTTTCAGGCATAGAGCTAGAGGGATCGACAGGCAAATATTGAGGGCTCATTCACACGAGTGCAGATGTCTGTGTACCATGAAGACTGACTGGATCTCTGCACCTGGGAGCCATAGGTGTTGTGTACAACCCGTCTCTACCAGTCACTGACAGGTTGCAGCTGTTTGCTGGTAAACCTTGCTCCAAGCGTGTACATCCATACCAGTTCTGATGTATGCCCCCGAATGCAGACAGTCTGCACCTGTGGCTTCTGGGTGCAGAGATCCAGAGAGTCTTTACGATTCATGGAGCTCTGTGTATGAGCGCTAAAAAGATTTACATCATATATATTTCTTTACCGTTACTGAAAAAATAAAGAAGCTGCCATTGCTATGCTCTCCTTCACTTAATAGTTTCTGGGTCACGGTTTTGGAACGGTTAAGAGCAGCCCCAAGGGAGCTGGCAGAAGTAAGTAAATCTGCTTTATTCAAGCCATCCATGACAACAATGAGCACTTAAGCCTTGCAGTGCAGGGGTAGCCCCGCTGCAAGGGTGCCTTTTTTTTGCCCAGAGATTTGCTTTAAGTTGATCAGGTGTTGTGCCTTCCCTCTGACTTTACTGATCTGCATACTTTTTCCAGGTCAGTGACTCAAAATGTTGAGGCCAGAGACAGCCAGACCACTAGAATTTTCTGAGGAGGGCACCTGTGGCAGCCTGTAGTTTTGGCTCAGTCCAAGTATCCCTTAAGAGTGGCTGAACAGAATTACAGAATATGTAGATGGATACATGTGATCATTGTAATTGTATGTTGTACTCTGTAGTTGTACAAGAGAACACCATTGTGATGGACATATACATACACGTACGTTTGCATCTTCAAGTCTTGTTGACCACATTAAGAGTCTATGTCGAGGAGCTGTTGTTCACTTTAAGACGGTTTTGCATTCTGTGATTAAAGAAGAACTCTAGGGAAATGTTTTAAGTGTGGGGGTAGCCCCACTGCAAGGGTTAAGTGCTCGTTTTTGTCTAGGGAGAAAAATATCAAAGTTATATTTACCAGAACTTCCGAGCCGGCTTGCTCTTAGACCAATCTGTGGAGCCTTTCTCCCCCTCCCGCTGCAATGGTCTAAGGTCCGTGAGTCACCACATTCTATACACAGTGTATAGGATGTGAGGATGCTGATGGACCTCCTCCATTGCTGCAGTGGAGAAGACAAGCTGGAGGAAGGCTCCATTCACACCTAAGTGTATTGTCATGCGTCAATCAGCACGTCTAAGCGCTCAACCCCAGGAATCCCATTCAGTTTTATGGCCCCTGTTCACATCTGGATGTTTTGTTGCAAGCAGAAATATGCCTGTCGCATGAAATACTACATGAGCTAGTTTGGGGCACATTCAGTGCGTTTTCTTGCCATTGACTCAATAGAAAGCACTTGAAAAACGTGCGTTGCGATTATTTTTGAGCAGATTCAGTGCGTTTTGCCCATGCACATGAATATGCCACAATCTGCTCATAAAAATGTGCAAAAGATGCTAAAAAAAATAGGTGTCGCTTAGGTGTGAGTGCACCATAACAGCTTGCCGATTTTGAAGATCGGATGAGGTATAACTTTGTGCTTTGCCTCCCTAGACCAAAACAAGCACTTAACCATTGCAGTGTAGGGGTAGCCCCAGTGCAAAAGTTAATTTAAAAAAATTCCCTGGAGTTCTTCTTTAAGCCCGGCCTTGTGGGTGAAACATGCCAGAGGAGGAGGTTCCAGGCAGAGACTCCATTCATGTTGATGAATAAAGTTAGAAGCACTTAGAAATGATTCGGAGGGCAGCCCATTTTTTTCCTCTAGATTTGCATGGTCTGTGGGCCATGGGATGAGCCCCTGCTGGCATTCATTACCCAATCTTCTGCAAGGGGGGGTCACCTGATTCGGGGTGTAGTGTACCCTAGACTTTTGCAGCATTTACCTAGTTAATCTTCTGCTGGGTGTAGATTTTCCATCTCTGGTATATCAGGATAAAAATTCCTAAGTAGCGGACTCTTAGCTATTGCCAAACTAGAACACACACCTAGACACATCCGCAGCCATTCCGATCACCACACCTTAATATTATTATATTTCTTTTACCTGTGAAACAAAATCACGTGTACTGGCAAGATTAGACTTGACTTTAGAACAATCGGCCTCATCTATGCCAGTATTACATAGTTACATAGTACATAGTTGTGTCCCCCCTGAACTGATGTCCCCAATATCCTGCAACTTGATGATTCTTCCTCTAGAGCTCATTGTCTGTGTTTTCTTTACCTTGAAGGATTAGATTATCCTGCAGTACCAAAATCTTTATCTTCAGCTCACTTTAGACACCATTAGCTCTGTGCCACACGTGCTTGTTCACTGGCCTTGTGCGGCCTTCATCCGGGTTTCGGTGCTATTAAGTCACCGCTTCCTCATAGCTGTTACTTACTGCTTTCTGCCTGTCTGCCACTAGAGGGTACAGTAGCGCAACCCCTAAGTTTTTGCATGTGCCCTTTTGGAGCCCATTGACACCATAACACGGGGCAACAAGAGCGTATTCGGTTGTGAACTCATCTCACAGCACAGAAAAAAGGTTCTGCTCTCTTTTTCAAAATGCAATTTTATCTGTGTGTTGTGGTGCGCTATGGTACAGGTGCGCTGCACTGCAGCGCGCGCCGTATACTTTGTTCTTTGGCTGCAGTTACCAATGAATTGTAATACCAATGTGCAGTGTTTTGCTGTAACACGTTGTGCATTGTATGCATTATGGTTTGAATGGGCCCTTACATGCATTGCGCACAGTGTTTTGTTTTGAATGCATGATAAAAAAACATATTTGCACTGAGAACTTTGATCTGGGTATGTGATGGCCAACCTGTTAATTGGTGAATGAACTTAAAATGCAGATTTTTTTGCGAAATGCCCTCTTGCAAAGGTGCCTCAAGTTGAGGTTTATATTTTGCCTTCATTGGTTCATCCCTCCCCCCTCATTAACATGCTAATTACATTTTTACATTCAAACTTTCCCATTTTCCTTCTGTACCTTATGTTAGACCCAGTGATATAATCGCTGGGTCTCTATTCTTCTCTGTGCAGATCATGGGTGGGTGGAGAGGCCGGCATGGTGTTGTACATAGCTTCCTGAAAACATCACAGCACTCTGTATCTGGACTGAGGGCTCTTGAGAAGAGTACTGAGGCAAGCAGTGGGCTGGCTCTTGGGGGAAGTTATGCAAATATCAAAATGCCTTGATAGTCAGATATCAGTTTAGATTAATGGGCATTCCAAGGCAACTGGACTTGCTGTATTTTTCTTGGAGACATTTCACTGGTCATCCAACCAGCTTTCTCAATTCAGAAATATATATTTATATATTTTTTATTATTATTTATTTATCATATATATTATGACCTGGATGAATGAGAACCTTCAGACATATTCCAAGGCAGACTTTATTTACATGCAGACTGCCCTAGGCAAAGCTTACATGTGACGCTGAGGCTCCATGATTGAAAGAACTGAAATCCAGTGAAGGAAAGGGGCGGGCCAGGGACAGTTAGGTGAGGGAGAAAAGTGCAAGGATGATGCTGGATATTCTCCAGCAAGGAAATGAGGAGGGATCTATGTGACTTGCTGCAGCTTCTAATGCATATTGCGAGAAGCTCGCAGGGTGCAGTGAAATCAGAGTGAGCAATTTCAGTCCAGGAGAGCAACCGGTAAAACTGCAAGACTGAAGCGAAGGCCGGAGGTCAGCGATAACACCTTCTGAAGCTTAGACTCCAGGCGTTGGTCCGTTCTGGGATAATGGTCGTATATATAGACATGCCGATGATTTCCTGTTTTATACTGGTTTTGTTAATGTCTATTTTTATTGACCTTTTATTAGGAACTAACAGAATTAAAGCCGATGCTGAAAGGTATACAAGATCAGCTGCTGAGAGCAGAACGGGAGAATAACAACTTGCGTTCAAGAAATGAGCATCTGGAAAAAGAGAAACGTTTGCAGGATGATAAGGTGACTCCAACTCGTGTGAACATTGCTTGTGTGACGGGCAGAATGACTTTATTTTAGTTGTGGGCGCACATTGGTGGAGTAGATTGCTCGCAGGCTTGTTTTCTTTTTTGGTTCTGAACACGGAGCCGCATTCCTCTTCCTGCATTCCCCAAAAAATTCACATCCTTCCTGCATGAGAGTGAGCAGGCAGGCCAGGCAAGCAACACTCTGCTTTGTTTTGGGGAAACAGAAAGCAAGAGAAGCAGATCACTGAGTGGCAGGTTATCTCACCCAGCAGCAGTAAATCGTTGTGGCTGCTTCACTCACTATAAAAGCTCTTACTCAGTGCCAGGACAAGGTTCTTTAGAACACAAGGCTGAATGGCCAAAGTGCACCCCCCATGAGCTATGAACCAACTTCGCAGTATGGATTGCTGGTTCTGCCCTATTTGGACCCCCTTCATGATGAGCATGCAAGGTGGCTGCCTGTCTGTCCTCATCCTGCTCTTACTAATGGATGAAGCGGATGACTTGTAGTAAGAAACAAATAGGTCCTTGATATGTAATTTTAGTCTTTACTCTTAAAACTTTGCCTACAATAAATACATAACAAAGTGAAACATTTGCAAAGTGTTAGAAGGATGACAGTGCCACGAAGACTGCGTAGCTCCAGTGAAGTTTTTTTTATTAAAGGAGAACTATGAGGCGAGTGCTTTTCACTCACCTCATAGTTCTAGCCGACCTGTGACAATGAGACTGTCACAGGTCGGCTCAGTAGATCGGGAAGTGAGCGAACCCATACCGGGTTCGCTCGCCTCTCGATCCTGTCACAGCTCTCTGCCGTGACAGGGGAGGGGCTGGATTCCCCCCTCCCCGCTCCGATCCGCCAGCGCTGACTGGCGGAACGGACGGGGGAGGGGGCGGGTACAGCTGGCCCTGCCTCTAGATAGGCAGAGCCAGCTGTCACTCATGCAGCGGGATCCGCTTCAGCTGCGGCGTCTCAGTATACTGAGCTTTGGGTGACGGGAGGACGCTAGTTTGTGTCCTCCCGTTACCCTAAGGAGAACTATGGGGAAAAGCCTTAACCCCATAGTTCTCCCTTAACAAACACACCTGTACTTCAGCCGCCCAAAACGCATGGAGATGAATGCTCTGTGTGCATTAGGGTGTGATATATTGCTCAAAAATAATGCGGGTGTGTTTAATTGTTCAGTTGAGGCTCGCTAAAGACATGTTGAAATTCTAAGTGCACGGTCTGCGTTAATGCAACACACAAAAGGTGTGACTAATGAAAACATTGGGACTGTGGTCTGATAATGGATGACCATACCTGAAAAGTATCCAAACACCCCCAAAAATGTAATATATCACAGCTTGGCTGGACTTGGGGGTGGACCTCCTTTTTTTTATTGCTCTATGGACCACCCTTGGGACAGAACAAGAGGAACGTCTTCTAAAGCAATAACACAGGCAACATTGGAAACTTAGGAAGTGTGGAGAGAGTGCCACAAATCTAGTCTGAGTCCATTAAATCTTTATTACACATGACAAGAGATCACAAGGAAAAGCCAATGTGTATCGGGGCCTCAATACTTCCCCCTTCATCAGGGCTTAGATGTTAATAGTAAACTGGGAGAATACTGGACAACAAATTGTAAAATAAAGGATAAGATTCAGCTAGTGAAGGTCAGGCAGTGAACGGGCAGCCCAAACAAGCTAAATGTTCTCCTTTATTTTACAATTTGTTGCCCAGTAATCTCCCTTTTTACTATCCGTACCCAAGCCGTGAAGAATGCAGAGTACTGAGCCCCTAAAACATAGAGCTTTTCTTGTGATCGCTAAAAAGAAGATTTACTGGACTTAAACTTTTTATGTGGAGCTCTCGCTCTCTCCATACTCCTTTAAACTACTTGGAGAACCCCCATGGGTACCCCAGCTGACAAAAAGCTGCCTCAAAAACTTGGATCCAAAGTCTTATTTATCCTGTTTTTGGCTTCAGCGCTCTACCAACACACCTACTGTTAAGCATTGGAGCCTGAAAGAGGTTCCAACCCTTCCTCACTCTATCTAGAACAAAGGACAAAAACATTTGGCGGGATTTCGACTTTCGACTCCATGATGTTTTTTTTAATGATGCAGAAGTCCTGGGCTTCCTCCAAAAGGCAGATGATTATATTTGACATCAGTTCATGATGTAGACAGTATGCGATTGACATACAACTTTACTCAAATGTTGTGACCCCTAACTGAACATTCTGTCATGCTTTATGTATCAGATTTCCGAGCTGATGGAGCAGTGTAAGAAGCTGAAATCTGAAGTCGGAGAAAAGAAATTGCACACAAATAAGCACTTAGGAGAGGGGGGCAAGGATTTGGAAAAGGAAAAATGGATTTATAGTGCGGCTTTGTCCGAGCACCAGAGGAAATGTGAAACCCTCCAAAGACAAATCCAGGAGGGACTGGAGGAGAAGCATCGCTTATGGGAAGAGAACTTGGAGCTCAGACAAGAAGTGACAGTCGCCAGGCAGGATCTGCAGGTCAAGAGAGAGGAGATTGTACGCCTTAGACAGGACCTCTTCAATATGCAGAATCCAATGCCCAGACCTCAGATCTGCGGAGATGGAGCTGAGCAGAGTGTTTCAAAGGTACTTTTTAATGTTTTCTGTGTGTTGGGGAAGTGGAAGGGCCTGCTCATGTCTTGCATATGGTCCTGCTAATTCTTATTGTATGTTAGTATGGAAGTTTGATGAAGTTAGGTTGAAAGAGCTTGGGAAGAGACGCAGAGGTGCAGATGTACATCAACCCTCTGAGCCACACTCTGAGATTGAGCAACTAATCAAGAATTTTTTACATAGGGGGAGGGTGTGCTTAGCCCTGTGCAAATACCTAAATTATGTTAACATAGGCAGCACAGGTGGCTGTAGGAGATATCACCTATGATGACAAACACCCAACTTATTGTAACAGATCGATCTCCTGCATTGACTGCTGCTCAGTTTTCTATTGACGTCAATCGGATCTACTCTAAAATCAATGAATTTCATAAAAATTATCCTGGAAATTAATTAAAATGTAGATGTCGTCTTTTGTATTTAAAATATTACAATCGGAGGTCATTATAAAAAATAAATCTAAATGCAGTAAATGTCCATCTGGGAATTTTTTTTATATCTTTTTTTAATTTATTTTGAACAATACAAAAAAAATCCCCAACACACTTTCCAGCAGATCAGTACAAACAGATCTAATTGGACATTTAGGTTAAAAACAGGTTTGGTTTTTTTTTGTTGCATACTTTTGCAAATACAAGGGAAACTATGCTGCTGAGTAAAGGCGCCTCTGCAAAGTGCGGCCCCTGAACCACAGTGTACAGTCCTGCCCATGTGCACCTTACCTGTGCTAGTTATGCATTGATTTGAGCTGTTACCATTCTTTGCTTAGTTTGATTTGGTGCGGGAACACACTTGGGGTGTCTTCAGCTGCCGGGCCTGTGCATTTTGCTCTGCCCATGTGCACCTTTCCCTTTTTGCAAGTTTCATACAAATGAGAGTGGCTGCTGCCATTGTTGCTTTTTTGGATTTGGTGCAGAAACACACCGGAAGTCTGAGGCTGCATTGTAAATGCTGTGTCTGGACATCTGGTGTATAGCTGTACCTTTTTAAGGGTACCTTTTTATGGGGCTGCCTCCAGGTGGGCCTGCTCTCTGTTTGGGCAATGTCCCCTAGTTTGGAAACACAGATAAGAGTTAGGTAGGCTATGCACACAGCAAAGTTTGGCCGCTTCTTGATGAACTGGCTGAAATTTGCACAGTGGGTGCCACGGTTGGCACCCTTCTGCCCAGCATCTCTCGATCAGCTGATCAAAGGAGCTGGTTGGAAAATTCTCAGCCGAACGGAGCTTGCAGCCAGTCAGCCAGAATACAATAGAAACAGCAGGGGAGTCCTCAATAAGCGCTCTTAAAAGGTGATGGAGGAATCTGTTCTATTTTCTTCGTTTAGCCTGCAGATTTGTGGAAAGAACCCAGTGTTAGGGACCCTTATCAGAGGCTTCCAGATTTATTTGCAAAGGTGTGCAACTTTTATTTTGCTGGCTAGCATGAAAGTATTCTGGGGACCCCCCCTGTACTGTTTTTTATATTACCCTGCCCATGTGTACACTTCCCTTTTGCTAATTTCAAACAGATCAGAGCAGTTGCCATTGTTGCTCTCTTTGCTATAACTTGTGCTAAATCCACCCCCCTAAGCTAAACTGAGCTAACTCTCCCCCTCCAGTGCATACCTACACTGGTTCCAGAGCCATGGCCTCCTCTGGAGTTTCCAACGTGTCTGTCAAATATATCTCTTCTATATATGGCCCCATTCAAAACAAAGGCAGGGCCAGCACTGAAGAGGTTTTTGTCCTACAGGCTGGAAACACCGGAGGAGGCAGTGGCTCTTGAGCTAACGTGAGAAAGCAGCCTTTCCTGAGTGTGTTAGAAATTGAGTGGATGATGTTATTACCTGTTTTTTTACTTTTCTGGCAAAAAAAGAAGGGGACTCATCTTCTGTCCCTTAAGGAGATACTCAGGAAGGTTCATCACCATATCTTGCTTTTTCTGCTATTTTGGCAGAATCTGGCTGGGGATGCTTTTATCCAGCAGCAGTTTGAAGAAATCCGCCAACTCCGCCAAGACCTGAACAGAGTGCACAACGTCTGCAGCTCCGCAGAAAAGGAACTGAGATACGAAAGAGACAAAAACCTGGAAATCAAGAAACAAAATATCCTTCTGCAGAAGGAACAAACTAAGGTACAGTATCATAGTCATTTCTGATCGGTTGCCATGGCATAGCACACACTACTGTCTGAGACTGCTTCCCATCCACAGTCTGTAGATTAATGTTTCCCTGCATGCTGCCCAATGGTGAGGCTACATTAATCTACATCATTTTTTTGACCGCTACCACCCAAACTCAACTGTTCCTGACACCTCTGGTCCCCTCTAATGATTAGGAACCAATCAGGGCACTTCTTAAACATGTGATAACTATATCAGCTATGACACAGTGATCATAAGCAAGATGAAGACTTAATTCAGGAAATATATAAAGTGTGTGTGTGTGT